GAATAGTGATGAGCTCGCAGAGACGTGGGCGGGCAGCGAGCGAGATAGCAACACGGGGGCCTAGCGAACGTGACGAGTGTAGCGAGAGAGGGGGGGGGGGAGGGGGTGAGAAAGCAAAGGGGTTAAATGGAGTGAAAATATTAACAAGGAAGACAAAACGTGCACGCGCATGGACTCGGAATTCACAATGGAGCAGCACGCGCAATGGGACGACAGCTGTAGCGGAGCGTTACACTCTCTCGCGCGTTCTCTTTGTGTGAATGGGGTTTGTTTATAGTTTGTGTAACGTTGGTCGTGTTGTGCCTCCGCCTGGAGCTGTTGGAAGCCACCCCATCTACACCCGGACACCCTTTAAACACGAGATCTCCCATCGCGAGGGTTTTTTTTTTTTCAATCCATGTTCAATATATTAACAAATGTAAAAAATACATATTACACGTTGATCAGTTAAACATCATTTTTACGGTGTTATTTTCACAGTTGAATAATCTGATTTGAGTGAAAGAGTAAAAACAAGCAACGTTGTATGAGATTGTGTTTAGTTGTTGTTGTTGTCTGTGAAGTGTTTTGTGAACGTGCTGAGACGCTGTTGTGATCGGCGACAGCTGGAACTGGGACTCGAACCCAGGTCTTTCGCGGTGCAGACTCAAAATCTCTGGCCCATTCCATTGTTACCTATCGCCTCGAGGCTCCCAGCTATCCCAAACATTCCCTTGATTCACGCATACATATACCAAGTCGTGTTTAAAGGTCCTCTCAAGGTGACTCTCCATCACGAACTGGAATTACAATTAATTAAGAGTTACGTTCAGTTAGCCGAATTAAATCTTTAATGCTAACTGCAACGCCACAACCAAAGCATTACTTAATCAAAATCAACGCCCAGTGAGGTTTATATGCCATTATGTATAGAATGCCGTTATGTATGCAAATCATTTGCAGTCGTAGTATCAGATTAATTGATGTTAAAGGCTGCTCATATATTTTTTTACGCATAAAGATAAAAGCGTGACCGCATTGTCGATGTCTCTCCGTCTGGAACGGTTTCTCGAACAATAACTGTCACGAAGATGAACACACACACACACATATATAAAGTACATTTTTAGTACGAAGTCGTTTCGCTCTTAGGGACTCACCCGATGGGGAAACGGACAAGTTGATCAAAGGGCTTTGCCAAAAATGCTTGCCTGCAAAAACACAAAAAATAAACCAGCGCTCTAAAAGTTCACTGCCTTGCCGGCCAAGGTGATGGTGCCTTTACGAGCGGCATCGCGAGGTGACGACAATCGTCACCCCCCGCACCTCCACAATTGGCACGGCTGGCTACGTACGACCCGAACGAAGTTCAACGTGTACGCAACGTCCTCGCGAAGGGAAACGCATCCAGCGTCGTCTCGATGCGCGCTTTGTAAGTCGACGAAATGGCCCAAGGCCAAGAGTTGTCGCCACCTCCCAGGGGGTTCGGTGCGATGCAGCAGCATCCCCCCAGCGGCACTTGCACGCGAGCCGAATTCATTCGTGTGTCGTATCGGCCCTTCACTTTCTATTCTATTTCGCATTCCTATATCGCCCTTGCCAGGACGTAAGGAAGGCGATGGAATGGATGGAGGGACAGGGGCTGGGAATGGAGCTGTTGTTGCAGGGGTAGATAAGACTGAATACGGTGGAGTGTGATGGCGATTGAGGGTGTCTGATAGGTGCAGCGTGGATGAGAGGCAGTGGGGTATGGAGGACACGCGCGAAGTTGTGAAATGGGCACGGATGAGGATAGGTGGGGAGGGTGGTAGGGGCAGAGGTCTGGTGGCCGGACAGTCGAGCTGATGGAGGAGCGCAGTGTAGGGTTGGGGAAGAGATATAGACTCCCACAGTCTGTGAAGGCGACAGTACGAGGGGATCTCCGTCTCTCTGTCTCTGTCGGGGTTATCGCTCGCTTGGCGGTCGGCGCGCTCGCGCTGCTACGGACCCGGCGACCCGAGTTCGATTCCCGCTCACAAGCAAAACACGGGACCTGGGGGCAAACGGGGCGTGGTGTTGGCCATCCAACCCCCCTCGTGCGCCGTGTCCGCCTTCATAGGTGCTCGCTAAAAGCACTTGCCCCGACAGTCTGTTCAGGCTATACGGGGGATCTTTGTCTTTGTTGTAGAGTAGTCGTTCGCGCGCTGCGCTATGAACCCCGGCGACCCGAGGTCGGTTCCCGCTCACGGCGGCCAACACCAACAGTGACGATTATTTGAACCGGTCCTGGGTACCTCCCCTAGGTCGACTCAGCCTCAAATGAGTACCTGGTGTGGTGTGCAAACATCACCACTGGGGAGACAAAGGCGGGCGGGCGTGGTGCTGGTCATCCAGCCCCTCGTGTGTTGTGCCGGCCTTGAAAGGTGCTCGCTAACAGCACTTGCTCCGACAGTCTTTTAAGGCTATACGGGGGATCTTTGTCTCTATGGGTCTCTGTGCGCGCGCGCGTACCTCTGTGCGTGTGCGTGTGGACGTCTGAGCAGATAAGGGAATTCCCATTCATAGGGCCTCTTATCTAGGCAGCCTGTGTGTCTGTGTGTTGTGTATTGTGTGTGAGGCGCGGTAGTGTAGCGCCTAGCACGCTGCGCTATGAACCCGGCGAACCCGAGTTTGATTTTCCCGCACCTGCGATTTTAGCACGGTTTGCTACATACGGTGCGAAATAAGTTCAACATACATACATATGAACCGGTCCTGGGACCTCCGGTAGGTCAAATCAGCCTCAAATGAGTCCCTGGTGTGGTGTGTAAACATCACCACTGGGAAGACAAAGGCGGCCGGGCGTGGTGTTGGCCACCCACCCCCTTGTGTGCTGTGCCGGCCTTCATAGATGCTCGCTAACAGCACTTGCCCTAAGTAGTTTGTTAATGGCTATACGGGAGATCTTTGTCTTGTGTATCGAGTGCCATTCGTGGCTTGAGGTTCCCTCTTGTTCAATGGTGCATAACATTTTCTGCATCCTGCACCACTTTGGTTCTCAAATCGTTTACAAAAAGTATACAATGTTAATAAATACCTCGCGGATTGATGAAACAAAGTAAGTTGCGCTTACTTGCCCGTGCTTAATTTGTGCTTCGATGAATTACCTTCTAAAGAACAATCTGGCCGAGTCTCGCACCCGCCAGGGGGTGCGAGCCGCACCGCCTGGGTCAAGAAGGAGACCCACTGCTCGGCATGTTATGATGATGCCGTGCGGTGCAGGGTGGCGCTTTGCTCGCACCTGCACCTCACAGCTAGACACCCCTGAGTTCGATTCCCGACTCGGGTACATTTCCGCGCAAGGTTTGTGTTGTTCTCCCCCTGTTCTATGGGTTTTCAAGACGTTTTCTCTGTTTTTTCGTCTTCCGATTTGGCCAAACATCCCAATGCAGGACCCTCCTAAAAATAAAAACACGTTCTTCTTGCACACTCTGGCTTTGCTGGGTAAAACAAGCGTAGTCATTTTAAACAAAGCCCCTTTTATGAAGGGCTTTGAACGCAAATGTCACGGCCGTTACGCTATTCTCCGTTATAATCTCCCTTCTCACATGTATCCCCATTGTGCTATCGGAGTCACGTCACGTGACGAAGCGCCGCACGTGCACGTTTGAAACTCTCGCAAAGAGCAAGCGGTAAATAATTGAATCGCAAAAGTTTTAAAATTCGTTTCGCTCATTGCATCGGTAGATCCCAACGTGCCACCGTGTACGGAGCGCAGGAACCGGGGGGGGGGGGGGGAGCAAACGGAGCAGAGCGAGGGGGGACGTTGTGGGGGGGGGGGGGGTTTGAAGGACAATCTACAGAGGTTGAACATTTTAAGGCAGATTTAAATAACAAACCTCGTGACTCGGACTGCCTGATTAGCAAGGGCAACGCATCCCATAGGCCTGGACCTGCCGTGATACCTGTCGCGTGACGGCCCACGCAGGGCACATATTTATAAAAAAAATATTTTTATATTTTTAATATATAACATTTTTTGACTGGCTCTTCCACGTTGATCCGACACGTTAGAAGAGGTGGGGGTACCCACACTTTACCCCACCACACGCAAGCCGCAGGTCGACTCACTCCAGTGCACTCATTTATACAGCCGCCTGAACAGAGGTGGTGGGTTGTGGGGGTGGTGAGTTGGAGGGTGGTGGTGAGTTGGGGGGTGGTGGTGAGTTGGGGGGTAGTGGGTTTGGGGGGGTGGTGAGTTGGGGGGGGTGGTGGGTTTGGGGGGGTGGTGAGTTGGGGGGGGTGGTGAGTTGGGGGGTTGGTGAGTTGGGGGGGTGGTGGGTTTGGGGGGGTGGTGAGTTGGGGGGGTGGTGAGTTGGGGGGTGGTGAGTTGGGGTGTTGGTGGGCTGTGGGGGTGGTGAGTTGGAGGGTGGTGGTGAGTTGGGGGGTGATGGTGAGTTGGGGGGTGGTGGTGAGTTGGGGGGTAGTGGGTTTGGGGGGGTGGTTAGTTGGGGGGTGGTGGTGAGTTGGGGGGTGGTGGTGAGTTGGGGGGTAGTGGGTTTGGGGGGGTGGTGAGTTGGGGGGGTGGTGGGTTTGGGGTGGTGGTGAGTTGGGGGGGGTGGTGAGTTGGGGGGTTGGTGAGTTGGGGGGTGGTGGGTTTGGGGGGTGGTGGGTTTGGGGGGGTGGTGAGTTGGAGTGGTGGTGAGTTGGGGGGGGGGGTGGTGAGTTGAGGAAGGTGCTGGGTTTGGGGGGGGGGTGGTGAGTTGGGGGGGGGGTGGTGAGTTGGGGGGTTGGTGAGTTAGGGGGGTGGTGGGTTTGAGGGGTGGTGAGTTGAGTTGGGGAGGATGGTGGGTTGGTGGGGGGGGGGGGGGGTGGTGAGTTGGGGTGGTGAGTGGATTGATGCTCGGGTTAAACGCACCACCGTTTTAACTGCGGCGCCAGGAGATGGACTCGAACCGGGCGAGCCGTGGCATTGCAAGTCCGCGCAGCGTTTACTGCTGACCACTTGTGACAGCCCCACTTCTCTTATAGTTGCTGCTTGTTGCTGGCCGCTTGGCGTTGTGGGTGAGACGGGGGGGGACGGTGGTGGTGGTGCAAAGAGAGACGTCTCACGTTGTGGCTATAAATATAAATACACACGGACGTTTGTTGTTTCCTTGGAAAAGGGGGTGACTTGGAGAGATGTCGCCTCTGCTTCTTCTGCTCATTGTGCTGCGAGGAGCCTTCGACGCGTTGGAGGAACCCGGGCTGCACGCGATCCTAAATATAGCCCCAGGCAAGCATCCCCAGACATCTCCCGCCACCGCCCGATCACCAACATCCTCGTCTACAATCCGTTTGTAATTCATCATTTCCATCTTATTTTTAATATACACACACATTCATATTAAACCACACACACACGTATTACAATAGATCATTAGAACCGGCAATTAATTTATAGTAGAAAGACGTGCCTTCGGATTAACGGTGTGTAAAAAAATATATTTAAAATATTGTTACACTCAGACATACATTTCACACACACACATGTATACTGCATGTGCATTATAGACTGTATCTACAGCCCACAAGATGCGCTACCTGGTCTATTACTACCACTACTATTACTACTACTATTATTACTATTACTACTACTATTATTACTACTACTATTACTACTACTCGTGGTAGGGGCTTGCCAGCAAGTCTGGATCAACATGTGGTGTGAGTGGATGTCCGTGCTGCCGCTGGTGGTGCTGGTGCTGGTGCCAGACGCATCGGCCAAGGCCTCGCCTATTAAGGCTCCGAGCGTAATCGGCCACTCTTCCCGACACCGGCTCATCTCACTGCTCCAACACCACAGCGGAGTCTCGGAGGAGCGGTCCATCCGCCAGTGGTTGGGGGTGGAGGAGTGAGACGCAAGACCACAGGTTGGTGCGGACCCAGCGGCTGACATAAAGAGGTCTGTACAACGCCCCCTCCCCCCCACACACGACCACCCGGCCAATCCCCTAACTCCAGCTACCCCCCTAACTCGTTCTTACTGTCACTGCGGGTAACCTCCACCCTGCAGGGTTGAGACACTGCATGAGAGAGAGAGAGCGAGCGAGCGGACCGGTGATCCGTGTGTCATCATCATCTTCCTCTAAGTCATCATTGACGTCGTTCATATAAAAATGATCGTCATCGTCGTTGACACCATCATCATGAGCATTGACACATTCATCGTCATGTGATTTAAAGGACAACAATCATCACCGGCCTCATTGCTGGCACGAACATCATCACTGACACCATCGTCATCATCGACGCTATCGTCATCATCATTGCAATCGTATTAATTGACTATAACATCACCATCATTACTATCGTCAGCATCATTATCATCAGCAGGTGCTGCATTATGATTTTCATCATCGCCACCCACGTGATCATCACAATTGTCCTCTCATCGTCGTCACAACTGACACCATCGTGAGCATTACATTCATTATCACCCTTAACAATGTCATCACTCTTATCATTGAGATTGTCATCATTGAATTGATCATTATCACCATTCCTATTACAATCATCGTCATAATCATTGCCATTAAAATAATCACAGCAGCAACACAAAAAAACACAGGTTATCTCATTGCCTCTAACATAATTATTAGCATCATAATTTACTAATCATCATCACCATCCTTAATGTCATCATTACCAATATTCATATTACCAACACCATCATCATTTGTAAAATCATAATTACTATCACCAATGTAATTATCATCATCATAATTACCATTAACATTATTTATTTCACTATCATCATCCCCATCGACTCCATCATCACCACCACCACGTGGATTTGTATTCATTCTCTGATTAATGTTGTGCTTCTTAACCAATCAAAACGTCTGGTCACCGCCCCAATGCCCCCCCCTCTCCTCCCCCGGATGACTAATTCCACCTCACGCACACAGTGAGATCCACATCCCCGCGCCTCGAGCCATGAACGCGCACGTGGCCGAGTGCGGCTTCTAATCTCGAGCTCTGTGCATCGTTGTCTTGTCGCGCCCTAAACGAGGCTCTGACGTCCCCTGCGCGCGTTCTGCATTACTCCTGCACGCTACCCATGCCGCAGCCTGCCCCTCCACCTCCCCCACCGTCAATGACGCCTCTGCTTCCTGGACCGAGCGTCGGTTGAATAGTGACCGTCGCGCAGAGAATGCATTGCAGGGACCGATCCATATTTGCACTCAAACGATTTCCCTGCGATCTTCAGATCGACTTCGTCTAAGTACTGCGAGGTCACGGCTCTGTTGCTGGGGTGATGGGGATTGTGCCACCGTTCAGCTCTCGGACTATGGAACAACGCTTTGTGCCTTTGGTAATTAGACAAATCGGAGTCGTTAAAGATGTTTAAGTCTATCTTGTAGGTGAGTGGGTGGGTGTGTGCGTGGGAGGGTTTGTGAGTGAGTGAGTGGGTGTGTGAGTGGTTGAGTGAGTGGTTGGGTGAATGAGTGTGTGAGTGTGTGGGTGAGTGGTTGAGTGGGTGAGTGAGTGGATGGGTGAGTGAGTGGGTGTGTGAGTGGGTGTGTAAGTGGGTGGGTGTGTGAGTGGGTGAGTGGGTGTGTGAGTAAGTGGGTGTGTGAGTGAGTGGGTGAGTGGGTGGGTGAGTGGGTAAGTGAGTGGGTGAGTGAGTGGGTGAGTGAGTGGGTGAGTGAGTGGGTGAGTGAGTGGGTGAGTGAGTGGGTGAGTGAGTGGGTGAGTGGGTGGGTGAGTGGGTGGGTGAGTGGGTGGGTGAGTGGGTGAGTGAGTGAGTGGGTGAGTGAGTGGGTGAGTGAGTGGGTGAGTATTCGGGCTGATGCCACTGCGGAGTTCCCAGAGTATGGAATGCTTTATTCCTTTGGTAATTAGACAATCAGAGTCGTTGGAGCTATGTAAGTCTTTCATTGAAAACTCACCTCTGTGTAACTGGCTTTCACTCCCGATATAAGTTCTGGACGTTTCCCCGGCAGGTTATGTTTATTTCCTGATTCCCATTCACGGTGGCGAATTGGAATCTACGGATGCAATGCGCCACTTTACAAATGTAAATTATAACAATAATAATAATAATTATTACAATGATTGTGTGCTTCACATTAACGGATCCCCCCCCCCCCCCCTGTGAAGTCCTGTGCAGTCGTTGTTCTCCTCCGTCCGCAGTCCGCACCTACGTACGGTGCGAAAGAAGTTCAACGTGCATACACGAGCGCGTCTCCTTGATTCACACCCTCCCCCGATTAGCATTGTGCATCCTGTACTCCGTTCACTGATTAATTCTGGAAAGTCACGCCGAATCGTAGGTCTCATTATCAGGAGGGTCCGGTTGCTACTTCCATTGGTTTATTTGCTTTTTATTAACATGCTTCCAGACAATGAATGATAATTTGTGCTTATTGTACAAGGTGGGGAGGGAACCGGAGCACGCGGATGAACCCCACGCCTTGCGCAAGGGAGCAACGCTCTATCCCCGTGCAGATGCAGTCAACAGATGGTGATGAGTCCACTCGCTGTACCGCATTCTCCTGTCGAGCCAGCGAAGGGCACTTCGTAGACGTCCAGGGGAAGGGAGTTGCACGCCATCTGCGCAGCGATCCACCAAACCTCGCGATTGTCGATCTGCAGCAGGAACGCGTCGCTACCCTTGCCCACGACGCAGCGATATACAAGTCATCTTGAAATATGAGAACATTTATTAAACAAAACGGCCGTTCCGTGTCACCATTGATTAGTACATCAGCCTATTGGTTTCGCAGGTCAATATTCTTCAGCATACGCATACAAATATTTGTCCGGGATATCAATAGTCTGATGGATGTAAAAAACAAACAAATACATGCCTTCATTTATACGTGGAGATAGCGGAACGGAGTTGTGCTCCGACATGATTGTACCCGTTTAACGCGTATGCTTTCGTGACCAAAATCGTTCACAATACCAGGGTTGTTTCATTAACCCCCACACCACTTCGCGCAAGAAGAGCACACACACGAGTGTTTTCATCGCATCTGCGCCTCTGTATAAGGAACCAAACAGGTTGACTTCTCCACAAATAATCTGGCTGTCGCCTGATGAAGCTAGTTGTGATTACTGGCGAAATGTCGTACTCAGATTGTAAATGTTTGTGGCTTGGCACTCAAACACACCGGTGTGCTGTACGAGTGACGAATTGGCCACTCGTACAGCACACCGGTGACAACCCTTACTAGTTGGCTGTGTCGGGTGGTGGCGGGTTTAACGAAACATATAAATATTTACACGATCTAACCACCCCCCCCCCCCCCCCAAAAAAAAAACCTGTATTGCTCGCGAAAGCCTTCGCGTTAAACTTCAAATAGGCAGGCGTCAGGGTCGGGATCACCCACGACCTCCTGTATACCAGGCGAGGGAGTGAACATCTCCTAGCCACCGTGGGTACGGGGGAGGGGCGGAACGCGCCCGAGAGAACATCAGAGAGGTGCCACGTGGATTGTTAGAGAGCAGGAGGCGTGAGAGGCGGTGACGCCAAGGGAGCCAATAGGCAAGATGCGTTCATGAAGCCATCCATATATACAGACACAGACACAATTTCAACCGAGAGGATGGTTATAGACTCAGCAATCATTGGAAAGATGTCATCAACCATTTATATATTTACGCGATCTAACAAAAACATCCCCTCTATTATGGATGATTGTACCCACCACGCTCCACAGCAACGCGTCATACTGATTGCGCACGCGGGCGGTATAGCAGGATGGATCACACGTGGTGGGGTGAAATGTGGGCATTCCCCGCCGCTGCCAGTTGATGACAGCGATAAATTCCTCCTCCCACCTCCTCCTCCCCACCTTGTGATGAGCGTGAGGGTTACGGCTCAGAGACGACCTCACGGAGAGATGTTGAGTCAGCATCATCATCATCAGCAGCAGCATCACTATCGTGCGCACGACGTTGCCCGGTGCCATTTGGAATGTTGCTCCGACGCATCATCTAACGCTCAACCCACGTGGCGTGGACACGGGGCACACACACACCCTGCCATTAGCGCGGTTGGCCACGTACGGTGCGAAAGAAATTTCAGCGTTCGCACATTACGAGGAGTCGGGGCGGGGAGAGAGAGAGAGAGATATGGATGTGGAGATAGATTCGGGGGGTTTGAGGAGGAACTCAAAATACGAGACACGAAACAGAGAGCGTCCGTGGCTCCGTGTACAAAGACAAATACAAAGATCCACCGTATAACCTTAACAGACTTTTGTGACAAGTGCTGTTAGCGGGCAGCACCCATGAAGGCCGGTGAGTGTGTGTTGTGCTGTGGGGAGCGGTGGTGTAGCGGTTAGCGCGCTGCGCTACGAACCTGGCGATCCGGGCTCAACTCCCGCTCACGGCCAACACCGATGACGATTATCTGAACCGGTCCTGGGCCTCCCCTAGGTCGACTCAGTCTCAAATGATTACCCGGTGCGATGTGTAAACATCGCCACTAGGGAGACAAAGGCGGTCGGGCGTAGTGTTGGCCACCCACCCCCTCGTGTACTGTGCCGGCCTTTATAGGTGCTCGCTAACAGCACTTGCCCCTACAGTCTGTTAAGGCTATACGGGGGATCTTTGTATTTGTTGTGCTGTCCTTGAGCAAATATTAACCTGGGCGGTGTCGGCGGTGGTGGTCACGCACGTGGCCTGTAATCCAGCAGATGTTGTGAATGAAACTCCCTTCCTGTGTAGCGTCGAGGAGGTGTCATCTTACCCCGTCTTACCTGGAGACCGCGGTGACAGCAATCGTGGATTAATGACACCTGTCCCATCTGTATGGGATAGCGTGTTGCCCTCTGGCGCGTGTGCGTTTTCTCCACGTGCTTCCGTTTCCTCTCGCTTGTACGAGCGCATAAACACTCGGTCACTGGCTGAAAACATCTTAATATACAGATGACCGCAGAGCAAACGTTA